GATTTTGATCACATGATATCGTGGGTGGGTGAGTGCCAGAGGTCAATGTGATTTTAAGAACCAATCAGCGGCCTCATTTTTACGTATCAAAAGTCATGAGGTGTTTATGGTTGAATGTAGGTGTTTAGAGTGCACACATTTATTAAGGAGTATTTGCCTGAATGTATCCACGTATCTGACTTTTGTATGCTTTTAATCTGGATACTAATTCACTCTTTTACAAATGAGACCCCAGGACTTGTCCTCTGTCACGTTTAGACACTTGCTGAAAACCAAAGGGAATATCTGATCAACCACTTCTTCTTGAAGGCTCAAAAACTGGCCCTGTGTCTCCCCCTATGGGAGGAGACTTAGCATTGCAGACAGGTGAATCATCAGCCACGGCTGGATCAGAGTCTGAAGACTTTCATAACAAGGAGACTCTTAAAACAGCTTATATCGCTAGTGATTTTATTTCAAACAGGAAGCTCTAACCCCCTAAAATGAGCTGCTGCAGTGCTTGGCTGGGATTGATCCACAGACAACTTCTGAATGGTGGTGATTGTGAAGCACTGACACACTGCTCAGTGCAGGCTGAATACACAACAAGCTGTGGTCCTGCACTGAAAACCTCCTGATTACAGCTTCTTTTCAGTCCTGTGGATGAGACAGCACAACTCGTCAGGGTCTATCGTTATATGGTAACAGCTCAGTACCTGTCAACTCAGACGCACCTGTTCATTTAAAGTTTCATTTCAATTAGTGTTTTTCTAGTGTGTAACCAACATAGCTTGGAAAAAAACCCCAGAGAGCACCTAGAGACATAAAGAATTACGCATTTGAGTACTAGCATAGGGGATATCCTGACCTCTGTGATGAGGAGGAGCACCGACGCTGGTTAGAGTCCTGGATCGAGGCCTGTCGACCCTCAGCTTGACCACCCCGCTCAGCTGGGCCGACTCAGAGAGCGAAGGAAGCATTTCCCCACGGAGCACAGCCAGGTCGTGCTCCGAGAAGGACCGATCTCTTTTCAGAGGAATCGGGGAGCTCTCGGTCCTCCGCAGCTCCCCGTTATCTGGAGACTCCTCCTCCTTTGGTGGAAGGGTGGCGGGTGAGGAAAGATTCGGGGTGGGGAGGAAAAGTGAGGGACCAGGGAGATGAGCAGGAAGAAAGTAAAGAGAAGTCACCAGATAATAATGATGTATCAGCTTTAATTCTCAATTTTCTTCACAGTTTAGGATGCATCTATCCTGAGCAGTGTTTTCCAGCTCTTCCTGCAGGATCCTGTGTGTTCCCAGGACAGAATAAATCCAGTACCTTGCAAAACTAAGCTAACTAATAGGTTATTTGCTGTTTTTAGGAAACTGAATTTGATATGTGGCTGGAAAACGCCAAAAAGGAAGCAGCTGACACGGAGGAACAGCAGATTCTCTCCGAAAACCTTCAAACATTCAATTTAATTATGAAGCTTTTAGTCTTCCTCAAAGCTTCTCAACCTAAAGGTCAGGACCCCATTTGGGTCCAAGCAATATACAGTCTGCGAAGTTTTATAGACGCACCACAAGAGCGGGTTATTAACTTAGTACTGGTTTACATCACCAATTCGTTAAGCTCAGATATTGTATGGGAATATGGGAGACTCCTCAGTAGCAATTCCACCTGAAATGACCTGCTTTTTCTTTCTTTGTGTTTTTTTTAAGCAGGAGGATCCCCTTTCATTCTCCTGCATTTTATCAGTTCAGTGTGACATTTAGCTTTTGAGTGAAAATGGAGGAAGTGAAAATTAGTTTTTGCCTGTCAAACAGAAATTTAACACCACTATGCAGGCCTGTCTAGGAAATTTACCCCAGAGTGGGAAGAAATTTAAGCTGTGAGGACAGCTGCACCCTAAAGTTTGACAACAGGTTACTAAAAACACGATTTTTAAATATACTTAAGGAGATTTAATAACATAATGTTGCTCTCTGAATCTGAGTATTAATTACAGACCATAAGAGAGCCTGCCAGGATTGGGTCCAGTTTTGTGGGATTAAATAAGCATTCTGATATTAATGTATGAGCTGACACACCTTATATACACACACTTGATAAATTAAAGCAAAATCCTACAATGCCAAAAGTCTATGGAAGTCTTAAAGAGGGAAAACTACTATTACAAAACATATTCTGATAGTTGGTGCTTTGATTAGGTTAGGATCTCGTGTGCTTGTACCCTGTGGGCGTCAGTGGTCTCTTCCACTTTCATCAGGACAAAATATTTAATTATAGGATGATGGAATGTATTGATGTAATTGGATGGAAGTGTCATGTGGACATTTCTGCTCTCAGGTTTTAAAGCCAAACAAGCATGATACTTTAGGAAAACAATGCCACAAAAATGCGTTTATATAGGTATTGCAAACTAGAGCTCACTGCTAAAGGAGGAGCTCTAAACACAACTGCTTAAATAGACAGTAAATGGGATGTGTGGCACTGGCAGATCGTGTGGACACTTGTGAGTCTTCCCTCTAAGGGCAGGGTGCTCAAACTGCAGTCAGGGGGCTGGTGGAGGCCCTTTGTTCTGAATTTCTGTTCAGGTTCTACTCCTCTTATTTAGCGATCACA